CTCCTGCATATCTATATGAGTCTGCGCAAAACACTTCAGGGTTTGGAGGCGATTGTTGATACGATCAACCTTAACTCTCACTGGGTTTGCAAACTTGGAAACACTCTTTTGGGAGGTGGTATGAACTGGGGAGGATTGGGTTTTCCTGGGCTATGATTAGAAGAGCACTTATTTGGTTTGAGTTGGGGGGGTGCGGGGGAAAATGTATGAGAAATGGGTTGTACAGTTTCTGCTCAGACTTATTTATTTTTGCAGTTTACCCAAATATGAAGCAAGAGTTGCAGAATCAGTGGGACCAGGCAGAACAATCACTCTACGATGGCCTTATTACTCAGCAAGTAGGTTTGGTGAAGCCTGGGCCATTTTCATAAACATGCCGACGTGAATCCGAAGTTCATTGCCAAGGGGCATTGCACAATTCAAAAACCAGCCTCGAGTGGGGTTTGCTTTGTACCTCTTATTTTCTAGCCAAGAACACTGACCTACTTCATTTCTCCTTCCATATATTTCAGGGTTATAGGAAGTTACTGCAAGTGATATTTGAAAATGCAGGTTACCTAAAACCCACTGGAAAAAAGCAGACTCAACAGGGGAAAGAGGAACAGAACCAGTCACAGGAGATCACCTTGGGCAGGTGTAATGAGGTAAAGGAGAATTGGTGCTTGCTGATGGAGGGTTAATGGAAGGTGCAGGATGCAGACCTATATGGTGATGGGGTGTGATGTATTTATTCCTTTAAATGGAGACAACTATTTGTTTATTTTGTTTGGAAATTGAAAATTTATTCCAAACTTCATACCTCCCACTACCTCTTTCTGACAAAGCAAAGGATGAATGGTGGTCTGTTCTCTACTTGTGTTTCATTCATGGCCGTTTGAGAGAAAATTCAACCTACATCCATGCCTTCTGTATTCATTCAATGCAAGACTACCATTTTAAAAAAAAAGCTGGAATTTCAGGGCTGGTTATTCTAGAATCTGCCATCATGTTACTTATTTTGTTCAGTGTCTCTTCCTAATTCAGGAACGAAATAAACTCTCCGCAGAGATCCAGAGACTGAAGGATCTACTGACCCATCACAACGTATCTTTCTCGAAGCCAACTGGTCAGTATCATCTCATAGCTCTTTCCTTTCTCACCACCAGCTGAACTACCAATGATGCAAGTAGTCACAATTGAGCTAATAATTATACTATTTGCCTGGTGTCTAGGCAGCAGGCTTTGCTGCTGTTGTTTTACAGCTGTCCATTTAGATTATTTTCAGTGCCTGGTCCACTGATTTTAATTTCCTGCCCCTCAAGGCAACTGATAGTGGAGCCTCTCAAACCTTTGTCTGGCAATCTTACCCTGGTCCAAGCACTAGCTCTTGGTCATGGTCTCCTCCTTTTCCTTCCATCACTTCTTCTGACTGGACTAGGGCAAGGAGTTTCAGAGCGGGTTGAGAAGAGACGAAGAGTTAGCAAAAGGGAGGATTTTTTTTTGCTTCCTGTACTTATGGTTTTCACATCATCCGTTGTTCTTTCAGAGAGTGAAAATAACCCCACCATCACTGGACATCAAACTCCTAGAAGCAAAAAGCTACGTGGAGATCTGGGGCTCCGGGATGAGGTGCTGTGATTGGTATCCAATGGATGGACATTTTAGCATAGACCAAAATGTGAATTGTTCACTCTCTACCATGCCCATTCACAAACATTTGTTTTTTTTTTTAAAAAAAACAAATTTCATTCACTGGAACATTTCTCATGCAGTTGATGCTTCTGCAAATCCTACTTACATTAAATGTGGGATTGGCAGAGTTTTCTTTATTCCCTTTTTGACTGTATAATGAATTGTATTAAGTCAAAGAACTTTACCAGTTTAAGAGTTGAATAAATGTGGAGTTGATTTTAAATTTCCAGGTATAAAGTGTTATTCCCTGATTAGACCAGCAACAAGAAACATAATAGAAATGAAAAATTGAAGGGACCCAAATTAATCTAAATTCAGAAGAAGTGGGAAAGTACATATTGTAAGAAATAGTGGGAGGGGTCCAAACTCCAACTGATCATCAGGAAAATGCCAGGCCGAGATAGAGAGGAGCTACTTGATTTTTAAATGGAAAGAATGTAGTAGAATCAACATCGCACAACCACACACCTTGAATCAACAGCATATCAGAAATTTAAAGTCACACCACTAACCTGCAGGGAGTGGGAAAGTTGTTTTAATTGGCCTAATGTATGGTCACACCGGAGCCTCTGACCCACTTTGTCTGTTGTTTTCACCCCCAAAGTCAACACTCTGCGTTTCTTGGTTAAAAAGCTGAATCCAGATTAGAGCTAACAAATAGCACATGGCATAATTAAGTGAAAGTTAAGATTACAAAGGGATCTTGATCAATTGGGCCAATGGGCTGATGAGTGGCAAATGGAGTTTAATTTGGATAAATGCAAGGAATTGTACTTTGGTAAATCAAACAAGGGCAGGACTTGTATAGTTAATGTTAGGGCCCTGACTAGTGTTGTAGAAGAGACCCCCCCAGGGGTTCAGGTACATAATTCTTTGAAGGTTTCATCACAGGTAGATAGGGTGGTTAAGGTGTTTAGCATGCTTGCCTTCTTTGTTCAGACCACTGAATATAGGAGTCAAAACGTCATTGTTGAGGTTGTACAGATTGTTGGTGAGGCCACTTTTGGAAAACTGTACAGTTCTGGTTACCCTGCTATAGGAAGGATATTATTAAACTGGAAAGGGTTCAGAAAAAAACTTGTCAAGATGTTGCTGCAACTGGAGGATTGCTGTTATAAAAGGAGAGGCTGGAATTTTTTCTCCTGAACTGTAGGTAGGGGGTCAAAACTGGGGAACATATTGTGTGAGAGGGGCAAGATTTAAAAGGACTTGAGGAGCAACTTTTTCCTTGCATAGTAGTTTGTGTGGAATGAACAGTCAGAAGAAGTGGTAGATACAGTCACATGTAAAAGTCATTTAGATAGGTACACGAGTAGGAAAGGTTGAGGGATGAGACAAATGCAGGTAAGTGGGGCTAGTTTTGGGAAACTTGGTTGGCATGGATGAGTTGGATAAAGGGTCCATTTCCGTGCTGTATGACGAAGTGGCCACAGCAAATGTAGGGCAGTGTGATTGTTGCTGCTGTCTCTCAATCAGGGATGCAGAACCAGCACTAATTACAACATTCTGACAGAAACTGAGCATCTCTAGGTTGAATTTTCTCCCAAACTGCCAGAAACCCATTTCTGGTATGAAATTATACATCTCATTTGGACAGGGAGGAGCAGTTGTGCCTAACAAATCATTGGTTGTGAAGCAGAAAAATGTGTCTTTCTCCCAGTCTTCAGAGACAGAACCTTTAATTAAAGCTTCAGGATGGGTATGAAATTGAAGCTATGGTTCAGACCAAACTATTACTGTGTAATAAGACAACTTCAGGATGGTGGACAGGTCCAGGGAAAAGCCCTTCCTTCTACTTCTTGAAAAAAAAGACCCTATTCACAATCATGTGATTATTTACCTCACTGAGCAATGTATTTACCTAGTACTCATGTTTCACCCATAAATGATTAGCAGCTTTTCAGCCATCTCTTCCTGATATTACTACCTTTAGTGCATCATTTTTGCACCACGCTGTACAACAGATTTCTCCATTGCATGTCCCTCAGTAGCAACTTATAATCCAGCTTGGCTGTGCATGGACTGCAGCAATTCAAGGCCATAGCTGCTCCACCACCACCAAAGGCAAACAGAGACAGGCAGTAAATGCTAGCCAACCAGCAATGCCTAGTGTGTACAAGTAGATTAACTACAGCTGAAAAACTAAACTGCATTTCTGGTTTATGGCTCTAGGTGAAATTATAACCTATAATCTGTCAGAAACAAGATAAGCACCAACATAATCAAATGTCTACTTTTCACCATCCGAATCAGTTTTTCCAAAGCTCCAATCTGCAGCTCTCGTGACAAATGATGGACTGTGTGCAAGATAGTTACCTGTAATGTGACAGATAGCTTCAGAATCTAGAACCTTTACATTAAAAGTGTTTGTGGTGTATTGTTCTCAGCTGACAGCAAGGAACTATAGCTGATATTGACCTTGCGTCTAAAGCTTTCATTAAATTTGCAAGCTGTTTCCAGTGGGATAAAGGTTGGTAAGCAGAGAACAGATTTAAGCTTAGCAAAGTACCGGAATCAAGATGAGGACTTTTTTTTTTAAAAGTGCATTTCATATCATTAACTCCGTTTTTCAAAACGAAGTGTCCATCAGAAAGGAATTAAATAAATACTTGCTATCAATTCTTCTCACGAATTAGATAACAAGGTGTAGAGCTGGATAGAGCCCTTTCAAAGACCGAATAGTCTATTCCAATTTCACTTATATCCCGACAGTGGGTAGCAGAACACTGCTGCCATCTTGTGGGTAGAGTCAAGCCCAACTGAATTCCAAGCGTTCCTTACCTAACATCAAAACAGATTATCTATTCATCCATTTCATTGTGTGAACTTGCTAAATGCAAACTGCTAGTTTGATTCACTGATTTCAGAATGAAAAGGTTATTTTTCTTCTGATATGCTGCAAAAGTAGTATTTTATGTAAATACGACTTCATTCTTTAGATCAGGAGTTTGCCCCATGGGGGAGTTGCAAGTCTGGCCATAGCTTCCTCATGTAAATATCTCAAATCCAGGAAAAAAAACTTTAATGACAGCAAAACTAACTTTTCATATCTGTCAAGATGGACTGAATGAAACCATTAACTTATGCCAAAGTATGGAGAATTTTTGTGTTTGACTTGGGTCACAAAGAGAAGCTATTGTAAACATTCAACTGTACAATGCCCTAAATTTGCACATTCAACAATCAGCACTGCATTAAAAGTAGGGCAGCCTGGCAAACTCCTCAATACGTTGCAGGGCGTTATAGCTCAAAGAGACGACAGGTAAAGCAGGAAGTCATGATGTAATGAAGGCTAGGTGAAAAAGGAAAACAATTAATATAATGGAATATTGAGGATCAAAAATTATTTTAATTCCCATATTGATAATAAAAATAATTCCATGAATTCTGTAAACCACTGCATAAATGCTATAGTGTAAAAATCTTAAGTGTTAACAATTTAAACAATGAACTAGAGTAAAATGATTATGCATTTATAAATACCTTCTAAAAGAACATTCCATTCAGATCACCATTCTGTTTGTATACACTCACCTAGACCGCATACAACAGGCTTTCATAAATTAATACACAAAATGAAAAAAGTTCCCATAATATTCAATTAAGGTCTCGCTTTGACCACAAAATTAATATCAAGACAATATTTCAGTTATATTTAAACAGGAGTTAAGATAGGAGCTATTCCACGTCAATACATAAAACACGGAGTCCGGATATGTTACTGTTGTAATACATTTTTTGCCAGTAATGTCACTCAACTCTTGCATCTCCCATGATTTTCTTGAACGTCAAAATTCCCAGGAGAACAGAGTGGATGAAATACTCGATTACAGGTCTGAAGTAACTATTCACTGGTTTGGCTGTACACTACCCGTGCAATGAAATTTGAAATTAGTCAACTTTATATGCCATGACAAAATAACGCTGCAAGACACAAACATGATTATAAATGGGATAAATTGGGCAGAATCTTTTTGGATTTGTGTTGTATTTAAAGTGGTGATGTGCACAGCAACTGGCTGCAGGATTCTTCCAACAGCCCTTCATTACTGTTGCCCAGTCATAATGCTATTCCCTTTCAGTGAGCTTCCAAAATAAACAGATAAAGGCAGCTCAACATCCATATAATACTTGACAAACTCCCATGACAGATTGTTCCTTATACCCTGAGAAAGGAGTTTTACTTCCTGTTTCACTGCTCTTCCCAGGCTGAGGAACTTGCATATAAAGAATCTGAAAGTGTTTGTATAGAAACTGTTCCCAGTAAGAATTTTTTTTTTTTTAAAACAAGTATTTTAAGATCTTAAGACTATTAGTAGAATGGTTTATGTCAGTGTATTGAAGTTCAGTCTCAGGCCCTTGGTCATCATGCATTACACTACATTCACCTTCTGACAATGATGGCACACCACCACATGCTGAATCCCAGCAGTAAAAATTTAGAGGTAAAATAAATGCAAAGCTAAAATCTTTACAACTTACTGATGATTCACAATCTTAGAAAGATACAAGTTGTCCAGGCTCATGTGCCCAATACAGTACCAGTGTTAGGGTGGAAAGTTCAGGGCCAGAAGTTAATTTCTTGCATGTGACCAACGGTGAAGCCTAGCATTTTTTGTTTATAAGCTTGAATAGATTTAAGTTCACCGTATAATCCCTGAAGGAAGTAGTTTGGTACTGACAGCCACAGAAATGTAATACTTTATTGTGAATGGTAGCAAGTTATTTCAGAAGTGGATCATTACCTAATATAATCACAGTATGTGTGCCCTAAAGCACTCACTAACAACAAACCATGTCACTCTGAAAGAGAATTCAGGTTTATTCATAAAGTACAGCCCTCAGCAGGAGGTACTATAGAGTAGCCTGAGCACAAGCAAATCAGCCCTCCAACAGAGTTAAAAATAGAATGACGTTGAACTGCACCATGCTTGTCATTTTTCACCAAAAGAAGCAGAACAAGGGAGTTAAAAGGCTGTGGCATTCAGAATAACAGGAATGGTTAACTAGATCCTTTTGTATTGCTGGTCCATTAATTGTGAAAAATCACTTTGCTAGTGGAATGGTCTCCTGGTAAACCACACCAGCCAGATCTTTAAGATGGAATTAATGGAGATTTAGAGAGAGCTGAGTAACGATGGAGACATCTTTTGAAACAACTCTTCCTAATGCAGAACTGTGCTCCACTCTGGAATCAAGAAACCTAATACTAGTTTACTGTAAGAGAGGAAATAATTTGTATACAAACACCTTCAGTAACTTCACACACCTGGGGAGAGATTAATTTCCACTTGTACAGCAATGACAAGCTACTCACTATGGGAATTTCATCAATTCACTCGTTAGCATACTGCATGTAACCGCACCACTTTCCTGATCCTGAAGGATCGGATTTTTTTAGTCAATTCATTACTAAGGATGCCCCGTGATCTTCAGGTATCTTTCCCTTTCAAATATGTTTTGGAATATTGTTAAACCACAACTAATTATTCTGTAAAATGAATTTTGGGGGTAAATTTTGGCATTTAATGGTTTGAATGATCTTTTAAGGCAGTTTTGGCACTTGCAAGTTACTTTCAAAACGCTCTTTGCTGATCTTGATCATTTACTTTGATTTATTATGTACATATTTAACAGTTAATGTCTAACAGAGAGCATGTGGATAAGAAAATCTATGTTTAATCTATAAATATATTTACTTTTCACTAGTAACACTGGAAACCTGATAAATAGGAGAAACATGGAAAAAGAAAATTAATACTGATTCATTGTGTAGCTTAAGGAAACAGCTGTACCAAATTGTAGTTAATTATTTTGGGATATTTCTGTGTCCCATATGTATGCACTGCAGATTTCTAGTTAAGTGCTCCGGTACTTTAATTTGTCAAGATGTGTGTTTGTTTGTGTGTGGCGGAAACAAGAGAGAGGGGGCAGCCAGGGCAGGTAAAATGGTGCCAAGCACTGCAGCAGTCAGAAATGCAGTGTTCCTGTGGGACACTGAGGCACTAAGCTCAGTGCAGGCACAGTCCCAGATCATTCAATAACTTAGAGAGCAATTGGGAAAAAAAAGAGCACCAGTGGAGGTGCAAGGGTCTTGTTCCAATTTAATTTCACTTCTATACAAATAGAAAACTACATAAATGCTGGAAGTGCAAAATGAACCAACTTCCAATGGGACCCTGCCTTCTCTTGCAACGGTTTATACTGAGTTTCATTGCTCTAATTTTGACCACCTGTTCCAAAAGTGCATCATAAATATAAACTGAGTGACAGACAGTACAGTATAGACAGAATGAGAGATGAATATTGATATGGGGTGCATCTGTGCTTTTCAATAAACAGTGGCTATTTGAGTTCAAAGCGGGTATTGACTGTGTTTGCAGTGTGATAAGGAATCTGCAATTGTATTTGAAATCTCCAGCAGCTGGGACTTCCCCAAGTTCTCTCCCAATACTTGGAGTCAGACTGAGAAATCTATTTACACACAAAGTTTATTGCTGCAGTGACATTAACTGTGCTAGTGTAAACACACCCTTAAAGAATAGAAGAAATATTTGATTCAGGTAGGACAACTAAGGTTTGTAGCTCAGACAACTTCTCCAAAAAGCTAAGTTTATCTCAATAGGAAGATTTATGCAGAATATTGATGGATATACAGCTAAATCCTATGCAGACAACTTATGGTAGTAAAGCTTTGAAGAACAGGCCATCAAAAATAGACCTCCAGAATTAAAGATCTGCCACCTGGAGATTTTAAATAAACAAATTTGGGACTGACTGGCTGTTGCAAAAGAACTTATGATCTGTTAAAGTAATGATCCACAATTTTCAAACAGGAAGGGGAGGAGAGAAACAGTATGGCCAACAAACTGATAATCTCAGTTCAGCAAAATATTTTCAAGACTTTGGCGTTTGGAACTAAAGGAGCAGTATTTGGAAGAAGTGATTGCGAATTCTTCCCCTCAAATTGAGAATTGACTGGATTTTGACAATTCTGTCCTATCGTGATAATGAATCATTAAGTCTGATTTACATTTGGTTTTGTTTCTCCTGTCAATAGTTTACACTGGGAGACCCCTTCTGATTACTACTGCCTGGCTGGGTTGCCAGGTTTTTGCAAAGGGCTGGGCTGTGATTAACTTAGCAAATGTACAATTAGTACCACATCCCAGTCCACAGTTGTGAACAGTGATTTTGTTTCCAAAACTAATCTTATTCCATGATGAATATGGCAGAGTACAGTACATGCAGTAAAGAACGAGCTAGTTTTGTTACAGTTCCTCTTCAATGCCAACAGTAGTGCACAAGTATTAATATGTAATAGGTTTATCATAAATGTGACAAATTTCAATAGAACAAAAAACAAACTATAAAATTTTGTAAGCAATTTAACTAAGTATTGATGCATATGGCCACTATATTTAAAAAAATACCGAGCAAAATTTTACTTCACAATAACCTTGAACAGAAGTAAACCTTGAAATCTGGACTGCTTTTATGTTGTATTTTTTCCACCCAATACAATGTACTTTATAACTGTAGAACTTCATACATTCCACATTCTTTTTAAAGAAATGTTAGCAGTCTGTGATCAAAGAGCATTTCATGTAATAAGCGTGATTTTTATACAAAAAAAGTGGAATCTCTTTACCCTTACTGAGAACACAATACAGAATTAAAATTTCTAATTTTGGTCACTGTTTCAGTAATTCTGCCTATAACTAGCTACCGTTTAGTATTTACATGTCTTGTTAAAACTACAGATAATAAATTGCTATACAGAACAGTTCTTTGGCAAAGACAACATGTGGTCTAGAAGTCCATTATAACTCTTCAACAAAGTGCAGAAATTTTGTGTGCTAAGTGCAAATCACAGTCAGTGTTTACTCAAGCATTTTGCAATTCGTTGCATTATTAAAATTGATGTGCAAACAGAGATTCGAGATCCCAGAGACAGGAATTTTATACTGAAATGTCATCTCTACCACAGCAAGCTTGAGCATAAATTATTCAGTTTACTACACTCAGTATAAATGTATCCATATAGTAATAGACAATGGCAGTGTGCTTTACTCATTGTGAAGTTGGTCCTTAACCGTTGTATTAAGTTAACTTCTTCATCCCACAGATATACAGGCATTAGACTTCCACATAACAATGGCCCCAACATTTATTAGGTGCTTATAAACTTAAGACATATATTAAATGCTTCTTTTCAAACTTGTAAAGTACAAGTAGGAAATCAGTTCAGATTGACTTTGATTTGGCCACTAATCCAACAATTTATACAGCAATGGTGTTTGTAAGCTTGAAAGATCTTTTGAAAATACAAATTATATTATCTCATTCTAATTAATTAATATAAAAAGTTAATTTCTGCTCTTGCATTTGTTTGGGTTTCTACTAAGGAAGCAAGTGGGTCTGGGGCAAGTTTACATATTAAGGTTTGTTGCAACTGCACTGTTGATGAAAATAACTCGTTTCCATACTGAACTGAACATTTCTAATGCAACATTTCAAATACTATTTGCATCAAGTAAATGTTCCAATTAGGACCAGGAATAATCCTTATTTGCACATGGACTTTGCAATAATGGGGTTCACTACAAATTTAAGATACACTCAGATTTGTGCCAATTGGCTTACATGATTAATTGATGTTTCATTCACTCCAAACAGTTCACAATCCAAATGAACCAGTTTTTTTTCCTTTTTTTTGAAAATAAACTAGTTTCTTTAAACAGCTGGTATCTTTCCATCACTAACTGGTACTTCCACACTTTGATGGCGATGTTATTAATGGACTTCTGATACAGAATGACAAAAAGAAGACAAATTATTTCAAATAACACAGTAATAGGTCAATTTTTCATTCTTAATTATAACCTGTACATATTATGCTGTTTAGTCAAGTGAAAAGTGTAAGAAAGAACGAGCACAGGTTACACCCTCCGGTGCTAACTATATTCTAGATCAGACAGAATAAGAAACTGGCAATTTCAACATCTATGTTCAATATGAGTTCATCCTGAATTTTATGCACCTAACGTCTTTACAGTAAGAGAAAGCTGGTCTAAGATTTGCATTAATTATATATTTAAATATATATGTGTGTGTATATATAATCAGTGCAAAGATTTCGCATCAAAGTACCTTTGCCTGTCTGACAGAAGTTGTCGTTGCAATTTAGCTTTAGGCAAGGCAGAAGGCACTTAGTAACAGTGGCCAGAAATTAGACATTGTCATTTAAAATGATTACAAGGCTAAGAGTTGCACCAACTGAAGAAAAAAAAAAATTCATTAAAACTTCCATGATGCTAGTTACAAAAATCTCCAACCACATGCTGGTCAATGCAGCTTGTTCCAGAGAAGAAACAAAAAAAAATAAGCCTGGTTCATTTTATTATATAAAATAGCAAACTTTTTTTTCAGACTGCTTGTTTGCTCAGATTAGCATTATGTGCCATTATGAAATTGCTGCTGGTTATTCTTTTAAGCAATAAAAGTTTGCACTTAATTTATAAATTGTAAAATGTAAAAATCCTAGCAAGTTGCACAATACTAATATTTATAATAGTACTTAATTAGAATAGGAAATCTAACAATATTCACTGTACTATGATTTAACAGTAAGAATCTGAATACCAAATATCTATTAACAGGTTTCACAGTACACATACAAAGCTTTATATTATCACATGTTCTGGAAAAAACTACAAAGCAGCTTGAAAGCAAATTTATTATAACCTCTAAACAAAAAAAAACCCATGTTAACAAAGTGCGTTACAGGAAATTAAACCTCTTCACATAACCTAGTAATTTTTTTCCTTTTTAATTTTATATGTAAAATACTAGAACATAAAAATGCTAAAGCTGCAGTGCTCTGCATGCAATATTCATTGGAAATACACAGCAAGTTGATCCTACACTATGATTCTGAAGTGCCTTGAGTTTACTTCAATTTTATTTCTGAATGCATGCGGTAAGGAACCAGTTGTAAACACAGGGCATCTGCAAAAGTGATGGAAATGCAGCAACATTGTGAAGCACATCAGTCAGACCAAAGTAAACTGTATGGCTAACGTGCTCAAGAATGGACTGAAGTCACTGATAAACTGGTTTACCAAGATGCACGTGGCAAGTTTTCTCCCCAAGGGAAAGAGACGAGCTTAAACATACTAAAAAAAAAATTCAAGAAAAAATACAGACATAAATGTTATATTTTGTAGGGTAGGATATACTCACTGCGTAATTTAAAATATTTCCGACATGAGGGGGGCACTACAGCTTCGAATTGTTAGGATAGTGTAGTCGTTCTTCAAAAGGCTAGTCCCATGTACCTAGAATATATTCATCACCAATTCATTACTTTAGTTTTGCAATAGGGACATTCAATTTTGTTAGGTGCACAGTGCTCACAGAGGACATAATGCTGGCAAGGCTGAAGTAATATAGAACGGTCCCGCTCCTGGCATACAATGCATTTCTTCGACTGGAGCTGATAAATTACCTGTTTTGAATGGAAACATAAAATGTGATCTGCATGTAATGATTTAAGTTTGTAACAATCCCAACATTTGTACTCAAATACTTTTTTCTTAAAATTCAACCTGACCAGGTTTTGAAAGTCACAATCAAGGTTTTTACACTGTGTACACAAGACTACCTTTAATATTTTCAATGAAGAGTTCGTACAATTACATGCTTACAGATCTGAATTTCCCACCAGAGGCTGAGAGATGTTAAGAAAAAGGGGTAAGGCGTTGCTTTGTCAGGTTAGTTCCCTGATGCATTCCTGCCTCAGGGAACCTTACAAAGAAAAGGATTAGGAACTGTTCGGCTTCCCACTCTACAAATAGAGCTGGCCAATTTGTCCAATGGAGGTATCATTTAGGAGCCACATGGCCATGACACTGCTGTCTTCCGTTGAGGGGTCCTCTGTTAATGGAAGTCAACAGCTCACTCAAGGTGGCCTTCCAGCGGCAGACCAGAGGGTCGTCAGAGACAGAGCCTCTGTGATCAATGTCAGAGTTACAGGTGACAGGATGAAAGCCTGTGAATAGGCCTGCATTATGGTCACTTGCATACCAACAACGAAGGGCACCTCACATGCCGTTGTCTGTGCGCTTTGGCAGTGATCAGATCTGCTGGTGGGTTGACAACTTGGTATTGCTGCATTTACAAGAAGTCATTTGATTTCAGCTAAATGACCAGCAAGCCACCGAGGAGGATAATTGCTAAGGAGTCTTATGACCTGGGAGAAAAAAGGGGCCGTAAGAAGTTTTAATCTGGGGGCGCATGGCCAATGTAACAGCAGAGGTGCTGTTAATAAAACATCTAGCCTAATAAGGTAGCTTTCTCTCTCTCAAAGTATTACCATGGAGCTGTCTGAGTCTAAATTCTGGAATTCCCCACCTAGCAGCACTACGGGCGTCCCTAAACCCCAAGGGCTGCAGAGGTTTAAGGCAGCAGCTCATCACCACCTTCTCCAGGGCAATTAAGGATGGGTAATAGATACTGGCCCAGCCAGCAACACCCAAACCCCGTGAACAAACTTTTGAAAATCACAAGTAAAACCAGACATATTTTGTACTTCATTGTTGAAGTTGATTTTCATGTTTACATGCCACGACAGCAAACTCTAGTGGGTTATTCAATCACTGAAGGCATTACTGACAATAAACATGCACACAAACACTTTCTACTCTTTGTATAATAATTAAGAGCAAGAACCTCATATTGATTTCTTTTTTTACCTCAGGCCTGAAATGATCAATTTAGCTAATTCAGTATAGATCACTGAGAAACTAGAATTGTTTTTCATTTGTTTTGGAATGTGAATTCTGCTGACAAGGTCAGTGTTTATTGCCAGAGGGTGTTTTGAGGTTTTTAACCTAGTGACAGCGAAGGAACTGTGAGATCGTTCAAGTCAGGATGGTGTATGACTGGGAGGTGAACCTAAATTTGGTCTTGTTCCCATGCTTCTGTTGTTCTTCATCTTGTTGATAGAAGTTACAAGGTTATTGAAGGTGTTGTAGCTGGAAGCATGGCAAGTTGTCACAGTGCATATTTGTACATAGTACACATTGCTGCCTTTGTGCTGTTAATGGAGGGACTGAATACTTAGGTGGTGGTAGGGTGCCTATCAAATCAGCTCATTTAATATGGATAGTGTCAAACTTCTCAAGTGGTATTGGTGCTGCACTCATCCAGTTAAGGAAGGAGTATTCCATCACACTGTTTGTACCTTACAGATAATACATCAGGTTTTGAGGGAATCCAGAGGTGAGATACTGCAGAATTCCCAGCCTCTGATGGGCTCTTGTAGCAAAAGCTATTTATGTGGCTAGCCCATGCATTGATAATTCCCAAGATGTTGGCCTGAAGTGGATTGAATGATGGCAAATAATGCCACTGAATGTCATGGAGAGATGATCAGATTTTCTCTTCTTGGACATGGTCATTGCCTGGCACTGTATGACGGCTACTATACAACAGCCCATTCTAAATGTTGTTTTGATATTCTTGGTGTATACAGGGTATGTTCTACAGCAGGCTGTGTGTTCATACACAGAGCTGAAGAATGCAACAGAGCTTTAAACTGATGAAGGCAATGGTAGTTTTTAAAAATTCTGCTTTTGTTTGTTACATGTACAACCCAATTTTCAACTCACCCCATCTACAAGGTCCAAATCTGCACGCAATTGACTTTGTATAGAATGAAGCTTTGGTAGTGGAAGCTTGTCTATATCTCCATAGTTTCTTAGAAGAGGAAAATTTGGAGATCGATATAAAGCATCAAAGTCCTCCTGCAGCTTTTTAAGCTGTTTATCCACTTCTTCCTTTTGTTGTAATACTACTTGCCGGTCAGTATCTGCCACTTTTGCTCTGTCTTTGGCCTCTTGAGCTTCCTTCTGCCATGCATCACATGCCTGATAATAGAAACATTGTAAATGTACACAGGAAGAAGAGGCACATTATTCTTATGGATATTTAATTAATTTGTTCCCAAACTGACAAAACACAACAACTGAATCAATAAGAAAGCAGCCACCTACAATGCAACACACATTCCTACTCTTGTCAATCAATCGATCAATTTCCAATGCATAGAAACATACAAAGGAGGAGCAGCTGTAGGCCATTTAGCTCAGCAAGCCAGCTCCACTGTTCGTGATCATGGCTGATCATGAAATTCAATAGCCTGTGCCAGATATCCCCATCCTTAGATCCCTTTAGCCCCAAATATGAAATTCAGCTCCTTCATCAAATCATACAATGATTGGCCTCAACTGTTTTCTGTGATAGCAAATTCCACAGACTCATCACTCTGGGTGAAGTAACTTCTCATCAGTCCTAAATGGTTTACCCCTGTACTCTTAGACTGTGATCCCTGGTTCTGGACTTCCCCGCCATCGGGAACATCCTTCCTGCATCTAACCCGTCCCGTCTTGCTACAATGTCATCGGTTTCAATGAGGACACCACCCTGTCCCAACCCAACCTACATGCCTCCTTGTAACAACTGGTGTACAAGAACACCCAAGTCTCTATATGCATCTCCTCTCAATTTATAGCCATTTGGATGATAATCTGCCTTCCAATTGTTGCTATCGAAGTGGATAACCTAACATTTATCCACACAACATGGCAGCTGCCACATATTTGCCCACTCACTCAGCTTCTTCAAATTGCACTGAAGCATCGCTGCTTTCTCCTTGCAGCTCACCCGCCCACTCAGCTTTGCATCATCTGTAAATTTGACAATATTACGTTTAGTTCCCTCATCCAAATCATTGATATACGTTGTGAATATCTGAGCTCCTTGCACTGGTCCCCTCTGTACCCCACTAGCCACTGCCTGCCATTCAGAAAAAGATGTGTTTATTCCTCCTCTGTTTCCTATTGGCTAATTTGTTTTCTATCCATCTCAATACGCTATCTCCCATCCCATGGGCTTTAACTTTATACATTAATCCCTTATATGGGGCTTTGTTGAAAACCTTCTAAACGTCCAAATAAACCACACCCCTCATCAACTCCACGACATGCATTGAAAAATTCCAGTAGATTTGTCAAGCATAGATGTCCTTTCATAAACGCATGCTAACTCTGTCCAATCCTGCCACTATTTTCCATTAAATCTTATATAATGGACTCTTAACATTTTCCCCACTACTGATGTCAGACTGACTGGTCTATAATTCCCAGTTTTCTCTCTACCTCGCTTTTAAAATACAAGTTACATTACCTAACTTCCAATCTGTAGGAACTGTTCCAGAGTTTATAGAATCTTGGAAGATGACCATCAATGTGTACTCTGGGATAGAAATTCTCAGGTCCTGGGGATTTGCCACCCATCAATCCCAATTTCCCTTCAGTTTCTCCCTCTCACTGAAACCTGTGTTCCCAACATTCTGCTATTTAATTTGTGTCCTACCTTGTGAGCACAGAATCAAAGCATGTATTTAGTTGGTCATCCATTTCTTCGTTCCCCATTATAAAGTCTCTGTTTCTGTAAGGAAGCTATATTCGTCTTTACCAATCTTTTTCTCTTCGCATACTGATGGAAACTTTTACACAGGTCAGTTTTTATGCTCCCTACAAGCTCACTCTCGCACTTTGTTTTCCCTTTCTTAATCAATCCCTGTGTTTTCTTTGCTGAATTTTAAACTGCTCCCACTCCTCAGATCTGTGTTTTTTCTGGCTACATTGTATGGCTCTTCCTTGGATCACAATACTTTCTCTAATTTCCCTTGTTTGGCCACCTTTCCAGTTTTAATGTTAGGCCAGACAGGAAAGAACAATTGTTGCAGTTCTTTGAATTGTTTGCCATTGCCTTTCTACCATCATCCCTTTAAATTATGTTCCCCAATCCATCATAGCCAACTTGCATCTCATATCAGCGTAGTCTGCTCTCTTTAGATTCAGGACCCTGGTCTCACAATTAACTACGTCACTCTACACCTTGATGAAGAATTCTATTATGGTTGCTCACACTCAAGGGGTCTCGCACAACTAGATTACCAATTATTCCTTTCTCATTACACAATACCCAGTCTATGATGGCCTGTTCACGAGTTGGTTCCTCAATGTATTGGTCCATACACACAGATTAAATCACCTATAATTATAGAATTTCCTTTATTGCACATTTAATTTCCTGTTTAATGTCATTGCCAACAATGTCCCTACAGTTTGGGGGTCTCTATATACAACTCCCACTCATGGTTTTTGTCCCTTACTGTTTCTCAGCTCTACCCATACACATTCCACATTGTTGGAGCAAATATCCTTCCTAATTGCTGCATTAATTTCCTCTTTAACCAGCAAAGCAACTCTACTGCCTTTTCCTTTTTGTCTGTCTTCCCTAAGTACTGAATACCCTGGATGTTCAGTTCCCATCCCTTGTGACACTGCAGCCACGTCTCCATAATCCCAACCATATCATACCTGTTTTTAATCAATTTGCACGATTAATTCATCCACTTTATTGTGAACGCTTTGCACATTAAAAGGCACAAAGCATTAAGGCCTGTCGTTTTGACACAGTTATTCAATTCTCATTATTTTTCACCGTGGCCGCTTTGTTCTCGGGTATTGATTTCTCTACCTATCACTTTACCTATTCCCGTTTCTGTATTTTGTTCTTGGTCCTTGATTCCCCTTTTTCTGACTCCAAACAATGGTACCCACCCACCCCTGCCATTTCAGTTTAAAGCCTCTCCATTTACTCTTTGGAATATTCCCCGAGGCCATCAGTGCTGGTCCTGCCCAAGTGCGACCCATCTTGTTTGTACTAGTCTCATCTCCCCCAGAATCAGTCCCAATTCCCCAGAAATCTGAAACCAATCCCCTCGTATCTCTTCAGTCAGGTATTCATTTGATAGATCCTGCTATTTCTTCCAACTAGTACATGGCACTGATCCTGGACAACAATACCTTCAACACAATACTTTTCAACTTGTGTCCGAACTCGCTATATTCTGCTTTCAGGACCTCACCCCTTTTAAAACCTATGTCATTTGTACTAATATGTACCACAACCAACAGCTGTTCACCCTCCCACTCTGTAACCATTCTGAGACCACCTCAACCCTAGAATCAGGGAGGCAGCATAGCAATGCATCCCATTGCATGATAGAAATAGTGCCTAATGCCAAGCAATTACATGGTAGGACATGACAGATATTTGGAAATGTTCAAAATCAGATAAAATCAACTTTGATAAGTGTAATGTTAGTTGAAATGGATTTTTGCTTAGCCCATGGTCCTTCCCTGGCAATGATTTGTTACAGTAGATTCTGAGTAGTGTGTCATGTGCAGTTGGTGAGATGTAACAGGATCAGTACGCTTCCAAAAGCAATTGATCATTAGCAACTTAACCAAACTCAAAACGAAGAGGTCACTCCTTCCATAGCAATGAATGGCTACTTCAATTATGAGCAAAGCCACTTTTACACAAGAATCCCAAGATTCAAACTGACATCAACAGCTTCTAAACTTCAGCCTGCTTTCTTGGTTAGGACTGATCCAAATTCTTTGTTAAGCTATCAGTGGATCCACAATTTATAAGCTTTTCACTAAGTATTCCTCATATTCACAGTGCAGCGAGAGGACCTATTACCGCAAGCTTTTAAATTTGGACATGTATCTCTTTCACACTCACCTGCTTCACTTGCTGCCATGAATCTTCCCATTGTTTGATTTTTCGCTTAGCCTCCTCGAGTTCTCTTCGCACTCTGGCCAGCTCACTGTTGCTGGAGCCAGCAGAGGTGGTTGTGGCACTACTACTGAATACTGGAGATGGGCTTGGAGAGAAATTCCCACTAACAAAGTGATCCCAGATACTGCCAGAAACACCATTCAAACCTAATTGATTCAAAACAGATGACAAACAGTGTTTGATTAAAAGAAGAAGATGGGCATCAAAACGACATGGCTTCTCATCATTATACAAAATTTAGGCCTAAAGCAAATGAATGGCAGCAACTGTTTCCAGAGTTCCTGATTCTACTTTGCCTCAAATTAGTTTATCTAAATTCTTTCCCTCATTTCTTCAATTTAAAAAGTTACCTTTTTTACTTGTTTATTGATTCATTTTTTCTGAGATACTTAGCTTTTTAATCTGGTTTAGAAAATGGTTTTTCATTTATTTTGACTTCAGGGAAAGAGGATGGGCATGTCAGTTACTTGCTTAAATGTGGTACACTTTTCCAAGTCTCTTTGCTCTTGGCTTTGACAAGTCGAAACAGGATCTTTGCAAAAGTTTTAGTTTATCTAAACAGGGCAGAAATCACCAAAACTTTTGAAAAGTTATGGCATAGTGGGCGAGATTATCAAGAAACATAACAATCTATTGATTCAACAGACAATTTGCAATGCATTGATAATAACATGCTCAGGTTTGTTTTACATTATTTGTTCATGGGATGTGACCATTTCTTGGGAGGCAAAGCAGGATTTATTCCTCAACTCCAATGGCTTGGCAAAGTTCACGGTGATACGTCTTCTTAAATTGCTGCAGCACATTTCTTGCACATAGTCCCAAAGCGCTATTAGATAGGTAGGTAGGTAGGTGCAGGATTTTGATGCACACAAAGAATGGCATGTCTCTCAATCCCTCACAGAAGGCACTGATTCTTGCTAAAGTCTGGTCCCATTTGTGCTCAAAATCCAGGATTTGAATGTGGGACCTTTTGTATTCACACAGTAATATGCCCAAGAGTTCCTTCATTCACTAGAATGGTTATATATCTATAATTTACCCAAAATATTCTGTACCTGTGCAAGTTATGACTTTTTATACTATAAATTGCTACAGCCACATCTATAATGTTATCAGGGATATGGAACTTCATGTTTTCATTAAAACAGCAATAGTGAAAGATAGTTTTCAATGGGTATTCAAGATCATGAGGGCATTGACTAGGTAAATAAGCAGAAACTATTTATGGTGGCAGAAGGATTGGTAACCAGGGACACAGATAGAACAACAAGAGGATAACAGATCTGTATTATTAACAGGGATAAGACTTACTATGTCTGAGAGAGAAGGATTGTAGGACCGCTCTGAACTCTCAAGTGTGCATCCTATGCGATGTGTGAACTGCAGTTTAGTTCCAACATCCGAGACAACCAAATGTCAGCCATGATCTTACTAAATTGCACAGCATGCATGAGGGGCTGAATGACCTACGGAAGCGGACAGCAGCTGCAGCAACTGGCATCTCTGCAGCACATGCATGAAATTATGTTGTACACACAGGGTTACACGCACAGACTTGGCCAGTAATGAAGGGAAGCAGAGTAAAACCTGGAAATTACAGACCAGTCGGCCAGACCCTGGCAATGGGGAAATGTAAGAGTCCATTATAAAAAATTAATAGCTAAGGACTTGGAAAACAGTGGCAGCATCAGACAGTCAGCACGGATTTATGAAAGGGAAATCATAATTGACATATCTACTTGAATTCTTCTAGAATGTAACTAGTAGAGTGGGAATAAACAGGTCTTTTTCTGAATGGCAGGCTATGACTTGTGGGGTACCGCAGGGATCAGTGCAAGGAGCACATATATTCATAATATGTGTGGGACCTATTTGAATGTATGTGGCCCAAAATAAGGAACCTTAAAAAGAAAGGTGCAATTATATTGTTTGGTGCAGTCAAGAGGCCACCAACTAGTGGGAAAGACGGTGGAAAAGTAAAAGGATTTTACAAAGAGGCGCAAGAATTACTCAATAATTATAATGGTGGACTTAAATTATCTGCATATAGATTGGGATAATAGTAGTGTAAAAGAACAAGGTGCAAGAGCTTCCACAGGGTGTTCGGGAGAATCTTCTATAGCAGAATGTTTTCGGTCTAACGAGACTAGTCTAGCAATATGTCTTGTCTCATGGGAATGAGGCACGCTGAATGGAGAACAGCAAAGAGAACAATTAGGGAACAGTGGTCATTGTTCAACAAGGTTCAGATTGGCTAGAAGAAATCATCCAGTGTAATTGATAGGAAAGCCAATTTCAGTTGAATGAATCTGAGATAAATTAGAATCAAACGTTGGTAGATAAAACTGTAAATGAATAATGGAGATATGGTTCTGGCATTGCCAAAGCTATGCCCTGTCTTTCTCCTCCAAGGAGCAAACAAATGTTCCATTGGTGTCAGAAGGGATAGAGATTCAAGTGAAGAAAAAGGTATACTCATAACTGATGTCAAGCAGATGATACAACCAAGAACCAGGGTGAATATTGAAAGTTTAGAAGGGAATTAGAAAAGCAAATAAAAGAAGCAAGAAGAGACTGGATAGCTAATATAAAAGTGAATCCAAAAGTATTGTTTAGGCATATAAATAGTAAAAATGTGTAGTAAAAGCAGCAGTGGGGATCATTACAAACCAACAAAGGATTTACACACATGGAGTTCAGGTATTAAATGAGTACTTTGCATATGTTTTGGCCTAGGAAGATATGAGCAGGTCAGGACAAAACAGAAAAGAGTTCAGGTATCTGAAGACTTTAAAACTGATAAGGCGGCAGCTTTGGTTAGGCTGTCTGTATTTAAAAATTGCTAAGGTGCAAGGAATGGATGAGATCCATCCAAGGTTATGAAGACAAGCGTGAATGGAAATCGTTAATGCACTGGCCATAATTTTTCAATCTTCCTTAAACTTACGAACAGTACCAGAATCCCAAAGAATTGTGAATATAAACACCTGATGTAAAGATAATGCTAGCCCGCGTAGGCTAATCATTTTAACCTGTGGTGCGGAAGCTTCTGGAAACAATAATTCAATACAAAATGAATAGCTGCTTGGACCAATGTGGGTTAATTATGGAAAGCCAGCATCTATTTATTCCGGTCAAATTGTACTCATCTAACTTATTGGAGGTCTTTAGTGAGAGCACATTGGGTGATGACGTGTGTGCGTGGACTTCCAAAACACATCTGATAAACTGCCATAATTGTGAACAATGTTAGAGCTCATGGAATAAAAAGGGACAGTAGCAACATGCATACAAAATTAGCTGCACAAATGCAATGGAGTTAAAGATTGTAGGGTTTTTTTTTGAATTGGAGAAACGTTTGCAATGGCGATCTCTATGCTCAGTGTTAGGTCCCCAAGAATGGACTGTATTGTAGTCAAATTTGTGTATGACACTAAGATTGGTAGGAAAGCAAGTTGTGAAGAAAAAAGCCTTCAAAAGGGATATAGGTAGATTAAATGTGTTGGAAAAGATATGGCAGATGTGAGTATAGTGTGGCATGTGAACTTAACCAGTTTGGTAAAAATAATAGAAAAGCGGAATATGATTTTAATAGAGAAAATGCTGCAGTACAAAAATATCTGGGTATCGGCGTATAGGAATGCGACATTAGCATGCAAATTTAATAAGCCTTTATTGAAATGGAAGGCATATAAAATCAGCGAAGTCTTGCTACAACTGTATAGGCCATTTCTGAGACCACACCTTGAATACTGTGTATAGTTCTGATCTCCTCAAAAAGGGATATAATGAAATTAGAAGCAGTTTAGAAAAAATGCACCAGGGGTTGCAACAAGGGGTTCAGTAGGTTGAAAATGTATTCATTGGAATTAAGAGGAACGAAAGGTGATCTTATTGAAACATAAGATTCGGAGGGTGCTTGACAGGTTGCTTCTTGTGGCAGAGTCCAGAACAAAGAGTACAAAAAAAAATTTAAACTGAAAATGAGGAGGCTGTTAATCTTTGTAATTCGGTTCCCAAATGAGCAACAGTTTTTAATACATCCAAGGTTGAGTTAGTCAGGTTTTTGACTGACAAATGAGTCAAGGGTCATGTGGGCAGGCAGGAAAATGGAGTTAAGATCACAAATCAGATCAGCTTTGATCTTACTGAATGGCAGAGCAGGCTCAAGGGATCAAATGGTCTCCTCCTGCCCCCACTTTGTTCTTATGCCTTCTGCTCTTCCTGATGTAGGTTAATGATAAACACCAAGTGAAGACCTTTCACACATTTAATGATACGCAAGTCATTCAGTCTTTTCTACAGTTCTCTGGAAAACTCATCACCGGAATTCATCTGTGCTACCACCACCAGCAGCCAACCTCGTGTCTCTGCTAACCCCGCTTGCTGCCATGATGTTTAAGGCATTCTTTCCAGGACAAGCCCAACTTGCAAAGACAATGTCAATCTGTGAGAAGCTCTTACTCTTTCACCATTACAAACTATTCGGTATGTTAAACAAGACTATTTAAAAGTCCTTGAAAGACGAATAAAATTACAGAAATATTACTTCAAAATGTAAAGTCTGTCCTCAGTTCAACTGCAGATTTTCTAAAAATTAAATTTAAAGCTACTCAAATCAAAACGTGCAACAAATCTGGGGAAGTCTACAAAGACTTACCTAAGGAACTGTGAGAGGAGGCTGAAGTACCCAGGAGAGCATGCTCAGACTTTGATGACTGCTGAGACTGCTGTTGTGGAGCCATGCTGGTCGAAAGAAAAGACTGGGAAAGGGAACCAAGTGGAGAAGCAGATAGGGAAGAAGAAGAATGCAAGGATGAAGAGCGGGCAAGTGATCCTGGAATATTTACAGGTGCTGAACTGCCCAATAATCTCTGACCTGTGATAACAAAATAAATGACTATTAAAAAAAAACATATTCTTACATGAGAAGACATGATGCATTGCAAAGTTTACCTTCATTTAATTCTGGGCACAAACAGCTCAGTATTCAGTTGAAGACTTAAAATTTGTATCATTGCCTCCTCCATTCTATACGGCTTTGCTGTTCTCAATCCAACCTATAAAAGTGAGAACAGGGCAGGATTTCTTTGTGGAAACAATCTGTAGCCAAGATTGCTAATAGGATGTACACCAATAGGATTCAGAAAAAGTAAAAGACTGCTGAAAACACAGTGTGTCAAAGACAAAGCAAAGTGACTTCATAACTTGCTCAAAGATTGTAGCTTTGGGATCCATTCCAAAGATGTCAGCATTTGCTCTAGGCCAACATGCTAGCACAGTACTGACAGGACTGACACTGAAGGGCGGATTGTTGGGATCTTGTTCACAGATTTACTTCTGCACTTCCCCAAGAAACAGTGATCACATTTCCAAAGTCAGCGCTAAACATGTGAAATTTCTTGGATTGATATAGTGTCTTTTCTTAAAAGCTTTTTATTTGAAATTTAAACCTTTAATGTTTGTTTTTGAAGGGGAGGCAATGGCTTAGCGGTATTATTGCTAGACTTTTAAGAATCTATTGATGACCATGGAGCCATTGTCAACTGTTAGATAAACCCATCTCGTTCACCAATGTTACCTAGGGAAGGAAATCTGCCATCCTCACTTGGCCTGGCCTACATATGACTCCAGACCCACAGCAATGTTGTTGATTCTCAATTGCCCTCCGAAATGGCCGACCAAGCCATTCATTTGCATCAATTACTAAAAAGTCTCAAAGAAATGAAACCGAGCAGATCACCTGGCATTGACTTAGGCAGTGGAAAAGTCAACGGCAAAAACCAGCCCTGTTGACCTTGCAAAATTCTCCTTAGTAACATCAGAGGGCTAGTGCCAAAAAACTGGGACAGCTATCTCAAAGAATAGTTAACCAATAGCCTGACATTGTCTGTAATCTATGATTCTATGAGCTTGACTATGTCCCACACTCCACCATCACCACCCCTGGATACGTCGTGTCCCACCAGCAGGACAGATCCAGCAGAGGTGGCGGCACAGTGGTACAGTCAGAAGGGAATTGCCCTGGGAGTTCTCAACATTGACTCTGGACCTCATGAAGTCTCATGGCTTCAGGTTAAACATGGGCAAGGAAACCTCCTACTGATTACCATGTACCATCCTCCCTTGGTTGATGAATCGATTCTCCATATTTAACAACACGTGGAGGAAGCGCTGAGGATGGCAAGGGCAAGAGTACAAAATGCACTCTGGGTGGGGGATTTCAATGTCCACCACCAAGACTAGCTTGGCAGCAATACTACTGATTGAGCTGGTCAGGCCCTAAACAACATAGCTGCTAGATTGGATCTGCAACAGATGGTGACGGGACCAACAACAGGGAGAAACATACTTGACCTCATCCTTACCAATCTACTGCAAATCATTGGAAATGTTTCATGCTTCCACCATCATTTACTCTTGCTTACTATATGGTAACCTGTTTCCCAGAGACAAATTACTACTTGTTTTAGATAGTATTTCATAACTTTAAAGGTGCACAGAATTGTCTCTCATTTCGGGGCGGCACTGTAGCTCAGTGGGTATCACTACTGCCTCACAGTGCCAGAGACTCTGGTTCGATTCCACCTGTGACTGTGTGTGGAGTTTGCATGTTCTCCCCATGTCTGTGTGGGTTTCCTCCCATAGTCCAAAGATGTTCAGGGTAGGTGGACTGGCCATGATAAATTGCGCATAGCATTCAGGGAGGTGTAGATTAGGTGGGATAGACATGGGGAAAATGCAGGGGTAGGGGAATGAATCAGGGTGGGATGCTCTTTGGAGGGGTGGTGTGGACTTGTTGGACTGAATGGCCTGTTTCCACACTGTAGGGATTCTATGAATAATGCAGTGAGCAAATAAAGAAGGGCTACTCCACAGCCACACCCACCACCGCACCAAATTTTTCACTCTGTGCATGCAACAAATCTGAGGCATTAAAATAGACTAACAGCAAGAAAAAGCTGGTAACCACTGTTTAATTCTCCAAGAATTTACCAAATAGGTGCAGGATGGGTTACTAGGATTAATGTGTCTCTCAGGTGAAGAACAGAGGTAAATAGTCAGGGATCCTGTTGTTTATTAACTAGTAGGCCTGCTGGAAGAACTGGATGTGTAATGAAATGAGGAGCCTAAGATATCATCTCCCATACAGCCAGTCAAATAACTTGCGTGACACACACTGCATTCACAAATGGATTTAGGCAATTAGTTGGCCTACTGGTGGTGTTGATTTTCACACTCAATGAGAGCTATTAGCACCGTTGATCAGTTGGGCGTCAGGGATCACTTAGTGGGGTTGTCATTTACTATGATCAGTATCCAGTGGTAGTCAACTAAAAGTAACTCTCATGATGTTTGCAGTGAAGTACAGGCCAGTTTAAAAAATGTTAAATTATTCACATGTGTAACAGCAAGGTCAGATTATTGCAGTGGCAGTGGGAATACTGTACAATCCAAGGTTACTGTCACAGATATTCCTCCATCATCCTAATCTTTCTCCATGGTCATCTGGAAGGAAGCTTCAAATACACTCCACTCTCTTTCAATGTTGACTGAAAAGGGCACTTAGTTGGGAGAAACAACTGAAGCACTCCTTTGGAGATAGTAGGAACTGTCGATGCTGGAGAATCTGAGATAACAAAAGGTGTAGAGCTGCAGAAAATTTTCTGAAGGGTCCAGACCCAAAGTGTCAGCTTTCCTGCTCCTCTGATGCTGCCTGGCCTGCTGTGTTCATCCAGTTCTACATCTTGTTATCTCTGAAGCACTCCTTTCCCGGTTTCTGCACTTCAATAATTTTGAAATTGTTCAATCTTTGCTTCATTAAATCATTCCTGCAACTGGCATTGTTCCAACTGCAGTCGAGTAATAGCTAATCATTATTAAGAAATGAATGCAAAAGTATTTAATTGGGACATTATGGTGGCTAAATTTTCACTGGTCTAATTAATGTGGCAACCAATGGCCATGAGTTTGGTGCATGACATTCCCATTTAAAAAGCCCCAGTAAAGCCCTGAACTCCTGTACCAAAATGATTTTTGCAGTCCCTTCATTTGGAAGATTATGGTAGTTGAATTTTAATTAGCCTAATCAACTCAGCAGGTCAGAATGATCATTTTGGGTCATCATAGTTCACATCAGAAAGCTCCAGTTGGGCTCTACAAGAACGTGCTTCATTTTCACATATGCACACTTGGCCATTCACAGTTGAATTAATAGACCAATTTCACTTGTCAAACCAAAGTTCAACATGTACCTAAAAATGAAAACACACAGGCAGTATAATTGAAGTCTATTTAGCCCTAGAATTAGGTCTTTTTTTTTGCTCATTTGCTGAATTCAGCTGTGTTCTTGGTTACCTTTTAATCCTATGTCCCCAGTATCTTGATCCTCTAATTCCTTATCAAGAGATGCAACATTTACGTCACTAAAATGAAGATCTAAAGCAGAACCTGGAACAGAAAAGGAAACTTCATTATTCAGTCAAAGCAAAATCATATCAACAGCTTGAACATATTCTGTGCTTCTATCATGGGCAATTCATGTGTTGAACGATCAACCTTAGCCTTATCAGTATAGGAAAAGACAAGCAATTATTGACATTAGTAAAAGTCTTTTTGGTGGTTTGTCTCAGAAGCATCATTGCTGTAACAACGAGACACATAACAAGATCAGGAAATGTAGATCTTCCAGTTCTGCAGTCACCAATCTCAAAATGTTAACACTGCTTTCTTCCCACCAATGCTAACAGAACTGCTGAGTTTCTCCAGCAATTTGTTTTTGATGTAGATCTTCCAGTACTAGGTGCAACCTCAAAAAACTGTACACCTCTTTTAGTCTATGAATGACAAAAGTTGTGAAAAGCAGGTCACGTATAACAACATTTTAGCAGCACATCAGTTATCACATTTGTAATGATTTGCAATACAGAGTTCTTGTACACATGAAGAATGTGATTAGAAAAACTGTCACTGAATATAATGGATCTTTGTACTTCTGACACTAAGAAAGTGATTTTTCAGATCAATTGCTTTCAGTTAACCTAAAATTACTGTTTTTCTTCAGAGCCACTAATAATTTCCCTATGCAGGGAAACATGATACATTGACTTAAGAAATGAGAATCCCCAAAGAATAAAACCAGAAGCTTCCCTGATGCTTCAATTTTGGTATACAGTATTGACCTACGCCAAACACATCATCTCATTCACACTGTGCTGACCTAGCCAACTTCAATCACAATAACAGTGGGGTTGATACAGTTGGGCTCACTTTTTAACAAGAAAAAGCTCCTGATCACAAGCCAGTGCACAAGCGGATGGTGTGAGCGGATGGAACTGAGCTCAATTACAATATGTTCTCTCATTAAACAGATAATAGATGTATCAGTTGGAATGAGTTATGAAGAATGATAACTTAAGCAAGGGAATGGAACCCCAGAGGGAGGAGAACAGTAATTAAATGAAGCGGTCACGCGCAATACAGGAATCAACATAAAAAATAAATACAACTCTTCATCCATGCCAAACTTCAAAAATCCCTGTCCAATCTGCCTCGTTATTATGAAAGATGTGATTCCTTGCTGGGGTACAATTCCACAGGTCCTGTTAACATGCTGGGATCTTGCCCTTAACCACAAATTAGTCATGACAATTTTCATCTTCATTTGACATCCATTTTCAAGGCCAGATACCGAGAGTCAGGAAATCCAGCTGTTTATCTCTTCCTAACTCAGAAGAGCTGAGGCCAATTATAATAACCTACAACCCTTCTGACTGAGGTAACACGCTCTATATTGGACAAGGAACAGAAACAGCATCTTCATAATTCAAACAAAACTATTCCTAATTTAATCAACTTGGCAAAGAAAAGGTGTTCCAATTAAAAACAAATGTAAACTTTACTTTGAACGTACAGGTTGAAATAAAATCTTAACTGCAAAAATAAGATGCTTTCACAGCTACCAGCACAAGGTAGGTTACAACCACCAACAACATTAAATACAATTTATCAGTCTCTTCCACATTGATGATAAAAGGCTAAAGTTCACTGCTGTAACAGTCAAAGGACACAGATGTTAGCTAGCATGGTTCTTTACCAAGTATTTTATATACCAGGTAGAAACAGGGAATATGCCAACCCAATTAGTGCAATGAAAGTTCAGAGACACAAAGGACTCAATTATTCTCATATGTTCTTTTCTTAACTGGTAAAGCACAAGTCCAAGAACACAAGCCGAAATGTTACATAAAGAGTTAAATGAACATTTTTTCTGAAGTTACACTGGAGGGGTACTGTAAGGTGCAATATCTGTTACAATAACAAAATGTCTTCACTAAGTAATTATTAGTGATCTCGGGGCTACTGAAAGTCAAAATTTTATCAGCATCATTGTACCTGAAGGGGGGCATCTAGGGGGCAGACCCATGAGCATTGCCAGCGTCTTATACCTTATCTACGTGACTATTATTTGTGCTCAAGCCTTAGTACTGAGTGTTGCAGGCCATTAAACTGCTGAGAATGTCAATTCTCTGCTATTCGTACATACACTTCCAGTACAGACTGCTGTACAGTGTCCTGGACTAAGCCTTCCCCCATCCTCAACGTCAGGAGCATCAAGTCCCATTGTACAACCCAACAGAGACTGTCTGACTCAACAGACATGAACTTTACTACCAAGCCATCGAGGGGAGCTATTTAACTCAACAGCTAAACATAGTCGCAGGATTTAATACAAAAAAGTATTATTCTAATATCTTAATAACATAAGATGCAGCTTTTTTGAGTCAACACATCTGTGCACAAACTGAACTGACTTCTCTACACTTGAAGGTTGCATTGAAAACAAGCAGGCTTAAATACAATACCAGTTTAAATACAAACTGCACATAGTACTGAAGAGATCACATTCCTTCTCAAAACACCACCAGAACTTTGACCTGTTCAAGCTCTGGTATTATCATCCAACCAATAAACGTAAGAAATTCAGACCATTTGTAGTTATTTTCCCTTATTGTGAGTTTTCATTACCGTTCAGCTCATTAAAACATACACTGCAACGTTTTAGTAATAATGAGATGTTGCTGTTAAAAACTTAGCAGAAAGACAATACAAGAATTGTGAATTCTCACGTAAATGTGTCCTCAGCTTGGCGGAATAAACTGTGTAGTTCAGGACTCGTGCTGGCCTTCTGACTGCTGAGTCACTCTGCACCAGCCTCTATTCCACACCCATTTCTAGTTCAACATCCCCCCCCACATACAAACTGACTAATCACAGCAATTTACATCACGTGTTCTCAGCAGCCTAACAGAACTGCCAGAGCAATCTGACACCTCAATGGAAAAACTGGGCGAGTTAGCCACCAAATTTAACTCTATAAATGCCAAGCCAGCTCAGTCAGCTTAATAGTGCAGCATCACAATGGTTCCATACATGCTCTGATACTAAGATCAGCAAGTCTGCTCAATATTGCAGCACCAGTACAAAGCAGAACACACCCAGATTATATAATCAAGCCTGCTCAACACTGAGGCATCACTAATATACAGTGCATACCCTAATATTTTATTAATAGCAAAAGTTCAATACATAAGCTTACTTTGGAATGGAGGCCTAAAATATTAAATAAGTTTAGTCTTCGAGTGAAGAGAATTTCAAAGGTACACAATTCTAAAGAAATTTCTGCTCATCTCAAGTCTTAAATGGCAGACCCCTTAACTTAAGATGTAGCCCAGAGTTCGAGACTCTTGGCACCTGTGAAGCCCTCTCTATCTTAGCTACTCCAATGAGATTACACATCCTGCTTCCTAATTCGAAAGATGCTATGCAAAATCCAGTCAATCTCCCATACTACTTGACTTTCACTTCAAATATAAAAAATGAAAACTAGCAGAAGTCTGGTTTTCTAATGCTCAATGTGAAGGAATTTCAAGAAAAGTATATGCCCCAAACAACCTGCTCTTTGTATGGGGCAAAGGTCTTATTGTCGCACAATTGTTATTTAAAGTTTAAACAAATTTTATCAAGAAAGATTATTCTTCCAAACACAGGCTTTGCTAGAATTTATTTGAAAGCAAATTAACTCCACTCGACCTTTACTAGATACATTTACAGTAATGCATCGTTCAGAGTCTCAACACACAAGTGACATTCCTTTCCTACATATTAATTGTTTGAAGCTAATCCATTATTCACAAGATTTTCCATCTTTAACCAGAATAAGTTTCTGACCGCATTTCCCGGTCATGATGAAGACCTTTCTAACATGTCCCAACTCTGCAAATAAAACCCTCAGCCAGGCCTCAGTTTCATTTAGACTGGACTAGTCCAATGCACTCTTGATCATCCTCCAGCTTTTGCTGTCCTTTGTAAACCTGAGCTCACCAGAATTCTGCTACTTATGCCCTAAATCCCATTAAGAACTGGTCATCCATTTTGACCTTGTGCCTGTAAATCTACAATGGCTTCCAGTTTGACAACATCTCAGTTTTAAAGTTCTCATGTTTGTAACTCCCTCCATAATCTTGCCTCATTGCCGATAGCATGATGTCCTAGAGCCAGTCCACAATAGCAACATTTCAACTTTGGACGATCTCTGACTTTTACTCTTCTGTCAAAGTTAGTCAAACTTTCAGCAACCAAGGCTCTAGGTTCTCTCTAAATCTTGTCACCTCTTATTTCTAAAATGCTCATTAAAATCTCTCTTTGACTAAGCTTTTGATTATTTTCCCTAATATCTTTTTACATAGTTATAACACTCCAATGAAAAGCTTTGGTGTGTTACTATATTCAAAGGGTCTATTTAAGTGTACATTAGAACAGTACAGCACAGGAACAGGCCCTTCAGCCCACCTTGTCTGTGCTGACCACGAAGCCATGCCAAACTAACCCAATCTGCCTGCACATGATCCACATCCCTCCATTCCTTGCCTGTTTGTGTGTCTGTCTAAATGACTCTTAACTGTTGCTGTCACTTTCCCTGGCAGCACGGCCAGGCACTTGCCAACCTCTACACAAAAAAACCTTCCTCAAACATCCCCTTAAAACTATTCCTCTCTCATTTTAAATCTTTGCCACTAGTACTTGACATTTCCACTCCTGGAAAAGGACGCCAATTATCCACCCTTTCCATGCCTCTCAATTTTATATACTTCTTTCAGATGACACCTCGGGGCGAAATGTTGGGGAAAATGTTGGAGTCTATTATAAAAAATGCAATAGCAGAGCATCCAGAAATACGTAACATAATCGAGCACAGTCAGCACAGCTCCACCAAAGGGAAAACAATGCCAAACAAATCCATCAGAATTCCCTGAGACAACAAGCAGATAGATAGAATGGAAACAGTAGATTTCCATAATGCATTCAGTAAGGTACCACACATAAGGCCACCCAACAAGGTAAGGGACCACCGAATTTAGTGCAGTATGCTAGCATGGCAAGAGGACTGG